AAAAAAAAAAAAAAAAGAAGAAAAAAAAGCGTCAATAACTTGCAGCTAATTGCGCGAACGATCTCCCCCAGCGAATCCAATTGATGATAGGTGAAAAGTTGCTGAATTATCCAATCTGCGAGATTATCCCGTCGGACTATTTTTATCGTTCGTTCGATCGACGCTTTCCAACGCGAGCGAACGAATCGTTGAATACGATGAAAACCTGTCGTAAATAATGACAGTTTGATATTTTGCGTAAAAGATCATGGTGAAATTACTAATGGCATAAACAAGATATAGGCAATTATTACAAAAGGTCTGACAGATCGCTGACAATGAAATTGAAATAAAATCTTAGTAATTTTGTTTCGTATGTAAAGTGAGGAGCATAATTGTACCAATAATGATGAAAAATTGTCGATCATTTAAACGGATATAACTTTGTAAGAAAGAATCACATAACAGTCCATTTGGTCTTATTTCAATGCGTGAAATCTCTAGTTTGACAATCGAGAATTCGTCGATTTTCTCTTTCTTTTTTGAAGATAATTTTACGTATAGTATAGAAGAAATGAGGATAGGATTTTGCTCTTGAAAATTGTAAAAATTCAAACTTGCGTAAGAACATTAAAGAATTTTTTCGCCTTGAAGACTGAAATTTTTTCTTCACGATTCTTTAAAACCAGCTGTGTGACTCCTCTTTCACCGTTTTTATTGAACTTTGAACATTAAGGTTAGATGACGAAATGTTAGGATTTCTCGTAATATTCAACTTTCAATGAAATGGTGAAAAAATATCGTAAAGCAAATAAAAGACTTCAGTTACGAACAAAACTTTTCGATATTCTTACACGCGTTCGAATTTTTACAATTTCCGAGAAAAGGGTATCCTTACCCAAAAAATAAAAAATAACAAAAAAAAAAAATGAACCAACGACGATTGTCTAAATTAGATTAGATTCTGTGCTTGAAAATCAACTGGATCGTTACACGATTCTTTTAGATTAACACGTTACAGTAGACAAGTTTTCATTGTCATTGATAAAAAAAATTACGCTCCATTAGTAGTAAAAAGTTTATACATCGATAATGTGGAATAATAATTTCGAGGAAATTGACGAGACAGTCGGCAGCACACAAGGCCTGAAACCGTTCCGCTCGATTCAGCTCTTCCGAAACGACGAGCAAGAAGATGATGAAATTCATTCGCCCGTTTACACCGTAGTGAGATTCATTCGACAGGAATATCGTACGGTTGAATGAGAGTACACTCGTGAGATAGTGGTACAAGGCAAGCAAGTAGCTGCAAGTGTACCTTCTCGGAGATGCTATCGCGAATTATCCCCCGCGGTGGGCGGAACAAAGGAATACACTCGGGTGCAAGGATCTCGCTGGTGCTTGGGGATGCTGGGGAAGGAAAGGGGTTGTCACGCAAGGAGCACGGTTACTCCTGGTTCATGCAGTCCCGGTAATAGCGTGATGTATAATTCGCGAGTGTATCATCATCGCGGGGTCGCTGGCCGTCTTTTTAAACGGTCCTCCTCGCCGGAAGAAACGGCTCCTTTGTTCCCCGCCTGCCGTTGATCATTCACGCGTTCCACGCTCGTTACATCCCGCAGCTAGGCTGCGGTCCATTAATGCCCCGGCCAGATACCCACCCGCTTTAATTGTCCGTTATAACTCAGGCGAACGTAACTTTTCCCGTGAGGAGAGCCGCGCGCACCCGCTGAAGATTGGCTCCGAGCGGAGAACACGAAAGTGTACCCACGAGTGCGGAGGATGGGGTTTCCCAGCGAGAAAAATAGGGGCGAGCAGAGAGGGAGACAGAGAGAGATAGACGAAAACGAAGAAGAGGAAGAAGAGAAGAGGAGGAGGAGGAAGTGGAAGAAGAATCGAGCAGATGGACAGGGAAAGGGGGGAAATGGAGAAGGCGAGAGGCCTTTCGAACCGATGGAAGGGGATGAAACAAAATGGG